GAACCATATAATATCCGTTTGATATAGAATGTTTAGCGAAAAAATATGAAAACTTTATAAAAAAATGTGTAGCAAAGTTAAAATGCCTATGTTAACGTTACATTATAAGAAATGTTGGAGAATTCGCTAAACAGCCGCTTTTGGTTTCCGCAGTGCATCGTTACGGTAAGATCAGTTGTGATACGCGAAAAGTGCATCGAACGAGAGCAAAAGATTCGAGACAGCAGTTTTAATCTTTCAACGTGACGGCAGGAACGATGACGGTTTATCTCACCTAGAAGATTGACGCGTGCAGCGCCTACAGTTCTTTCTCAACTTTCATCACCGGCGGCGTCACGCATTGTCGACTGATATTTACTATTCCTCATCGGTACTTCCGGTTTTTGTCAGCCGCAGGAAGCGTCCGGCACGCCGTAAGCACGGACAATCTATCGAGCTCAGTCTATCGATCGCATCGACGATAACATGTATCATTGTATTGTGATTCTATATATTTTCTTTCCCAAATCCCCAAATACATCCAAGTATATCCAAATCAATAAGATCGCGACATGAATAAATAATTTATTAAAATGCAAGCAGCATATCGGTACCATATCTATGTCGTCATCAAGCAACATCTCGCACATAATATAATATTCTAATAATAATAAAAAATATTCCATTCTCATATCCTATTATAATTATCGTGGCATTTTTTAAATCTTAATAATATTTTATTTATTTTATATTGTTTTTGTGTAATAGTATAGGACGATCTAGAGAAGAAAGAAGTTGGAAGTATCACGTGCAAAAATTATATCAATGACACATTGAAAATGATAGAAACATAAACATAAACGGTAAATTATAGAATTTATTAAATCTCTCTTTTTTCCACTCGTTATATAAAATTCACGCTTCGTGATACCAGTTATACGTGATTTCCAGCGCTCGATTTATTTATTATACATAATCAAATTAATTACTCACATTTGTGTAGTAGTCCACCTCCTTGTAAGGGTTCACAGCAACCAGAATGGATCCCGTGTACGTCTTAAAAAAATAGTAATGTCTATGCTAAGGAACATCATTGCTCAAATAACACTTCATTAAATATCCATTTTGTCACCCTTCATTAATTAAAACTATTATTATATCAGTATTAGCATAGAGAGTGGGCGTCATCGACTAAAAATTGCCGTTGACATTTTTCCGCGTTCATAGACATGACATACTGCCCTTTATGTCACAATGCGACACTCTTGACCTTTTTAATATACCCTAATTGCGATCGCTCGCTTTTCCTAAATGATTTTGTTTTATAATGCGTGAACAGAAAAAAAGGCTAATTTATTTTTATTACTTGCCCTATAAAAAAACTGGAAATTATTCTCTCTCTCTCTCTCTCTCTCTTAATGAATATTTTAACAAATTTCATTTCAACAATAAAAACTGTCAATAAAAACAATAAAAAACAAACAATAAAAATTTTCGTTTATCTTTAATTTCTTTATTGTTAGTCTCACAAATAACTCGATTAATAAATATTGAATTAGAATTCTATGAAAATAAGATTCCCTTTAAATTCACGGAGAAATATGGTTTGATTCAAATTTCACTTTTCGATTATCAAGTTTACATTCATTTTCGATTTCCGACTGACAATGAGTGAATCATTAACGTATCGACGTTTTCGTTAAAAAATATAAAGTTGCTCAAAGACTATAAAATGTAGATTGCAAAATATAAACAATCTATTTTAAAATCATCCCGTGTTGTGATATATAAAATTGCAATAATATTACTTTTAGAATTGGAAAAATAATAATGGATTATAAGACGGGCTCAAAATTGCATCGCGCGTTCTCGTATGGTCGCTAAAATATTATCACAGAACTCTCTAAAAAGAAAGAGAGAAGAACATCGCTCTATCCCTTGCATAATAACTTCAGGATGACATGTTTCCACCGACACACGGGGGAGAAGGTTCTATAATGACGTCACCATCCGAGGGTTATCCATAGGGGGGATGACTCATAGCTGGATGCTACACCGTTGCAGAAAGAAGAAGGGGGGAAGGGTACACCTATAACCGTACACCCTTCTGTAATATTCGAGACGAGCGAAGGGTGATGATCTACGCCCGGAGGTTCAAAATTCATTTTGGCCAATAGTAAATTAACTGTTGAATCCTCTTTCGCCTAAATTAATATTTAAAAAAATATCCAGTATATTAAAATATATAGATCGAATAAATAATAAATTTGTATTTCTCTGAAAATACGAAACCCTTAAAAACAAGGTATGTTAAAGTTGCAATAGCCCATGATAAAATGAGAATGTAAAAAAAAACCTAAATAACATAAGAAAATTTTATGCGTGATTTTTGGAAAAGTTATGCATTAGATAATATAATATTTTGAGTTATTATTGCAACTTTATATATAAAAAGATAATAGAGACATAATGGCGAAGAATATAAACATTTTTTTTTCTTCCTCTTCATATTAAAATAAGCTTTTATGAGATATCGTGATACGCTTATATTTTATACTAAATTCTATTTTTCATATCGAAGCAAGTGTGTAAAAATGCACACGACATCAATGCATCGTCGCATATAGAACCCAGTGACCCGTAAGTGGTTGCGGGGTTCTCAGTTAGAGCCTAGTACAACCTCTACAGAAACCCCGTTATTACCGACGAGAGAGGGTCCAACAATTTAATTAACTTTGCGGACACGCTTCGTGTAACCTATCGGTAGCTTCTTGATTTACGTTCTCGGCACACTAAAACCTCAAGCTTAATTACAAACAGTTTGTCGATCTGCCGACGAGTCTATTCGAGAGATACGCAAAGAGCGGACGATAGATCTCCTTTTCCGCGTCGCGACAATTTCTGTAGGAAAGGTTTCGGTCGGTCGGAACTTTCAATTTCCTTTGCGAGATTGCTGACACACCTCAAAACTACATGGGATCGTAGTAATTAGCTTCGATCGTACTTTAACGAGATTCAGATCGAAACTTTGTTGCTGATAAACAGAAGGAAGAGAAAGAGAGAGAGAAAGGGGAAAGCAACATTCGATTGGATGATCGCTCTAATACCAAGTAAAAAGACATCTTTTACTTTCAATTTCTTGAACGCTTCGTAAAAAATACGGCATTATAATGAGTCAGCTACCTTCATTGATTATATTATATTCACTATTTTTATGTCCAAGGCTTAGAACCAATATAACTTGGAATAAAAAATATTCTCAGTTTATGATGACACAAATATACGAAAATAAATGTTCGAATTAAAATATAACAAAAGCAATTATATATTTTTACATTGAAATTTATATATTATTTTTACTAGCATACTTCGATTAAGCATAAAAAAGTAAAAAGAGAAGACAAGAGAAAAACACACAGAGAGAGAGAGAGAGAGAGAGAGAGAGAGAGAGAGAGAAAAAGGATATAATAATAACCTTACTAATTTTTTTTTTTTTTAATTAGATCACTTGTGAAAACGACTATTTGACAATTTCTCTCCTTTTTGACAGTCGCGTTCTAATTTCAGAGATAATCTCTCGCACTACAATTAAACGAAAAAAAAAAAACACGTGTGTTAGCGCTGACTAGGCAAAGAGCTCAACTTGTGAGAAACAAATCCCGTTCCTTGTCTTTCCATTAGACGCAACACTTTCTAATTAAGAAGAATCTGACGAAGAAATTATAGTGAAACTATAAATTACTTTGTCAAGTGTTTTGAAAATTTTCTTTATATAAATATAAAATATATATATAATTATATTTGCCAAATATTTCATACAAATATTTTTAATATTGTACAACTGATTTTGTGAACTCATTAGAAAAACCGTTTCTAGAAAGAAAAAAATTAATAAAATGTATATTGTTGTATCCGAGTGAATTTATTGCGATATATCGCGACTCACTTTCATATTCGCTCTCGCGTTTATGCAAATAAGGAATGTTACTAATTATTAACATAAAACAACAATTTTAATGCAACTTGATAATACAAACAAATATTTCAACGATACTATTATTTCGTTAAAAAAAATTATGTATTGCGTTTCCAGCAATATCGTAGACATTTATGTATCAACTTATGTCGTTTCAATCTGACATGCAACAAAAGATTAGTCTAAGCACATCATCCCACACGCCATTTATCCGAACGGATGTCGTCGCATATATGAAAAAGTGTCCACTAACGAATAAATTGTCGGCGACCTAAATCGTTGTCTTTATCGTATATTTCATTCCTCTTATTTAACTACTATACTCCGAGATTCGATAATTACTTTATTCGAAATGTCGACTATCGTTAATTTTATCGATGTGCGAAGAAGGCCTCGCGATTTATCTGCATATTTGCGCACCCGACGTACCGTTTTTGGGGGAGATTAAGGGGGACAAAGGGGGTTGACAGTGGGTCGTCGCAGTGTCGGTCGTTGGGTCGTTGGCAAATCCAAGCCGACGAAAGATGAATGGGTCTGGCCCCGGGGTGGTTCGCCAGCTGACTGGGGTCGTCATAGCAACGCGGCAACCCAGGAACGATCCTGCCCACCCCTGCAATATTCATACGCGTCCACTCTTGCCGTCTTTCTCGACCGATTCATTTTTTCTCCCCTGTTCGCCGATCTCCTTTTCAGGACAAGATCAGTTAGTCTCTTGTCGCTCACCTGTCTATCCGCCCATTCGAACGAAGAGATAAACAAAGGGAATCGCGCAGATATTATGCCGCTATCAAGGGTATTTTACTTCGGAGCCATATTTGGAATTTATCTCCCTCATTGCGCATTCAGAGCAAAATGCGCTCAATTTCTGAACTTTAGAAACAAAATCAGATTAATTATAACATTGAAATAAAATCATTATATTATTCCCCATTAATAATAGTTTTTTGATAATATTTCGTGATATCTGCTAAATAAAAGTTACTGCTAAATAAGTTTAAAAATTATCAAGCTTGTCATTGATAAGAAAAGATAAAAGAAAGGATACATATATCTGGTCTCTGCTATACCGAACTTGAAGATTCCGATTAATACCAGTCTCATCGATGTCGCTGATAACTGTCATATCCGGCACACCGCATTCAGGGCTTGAGCCTAAAAAGAAAAAAAAAAGATGTTAGAGATGAATTGTAAGAAAGAGAATTGTGAAATTGCAAATATCATTGATAAAATAAGATAAAAAGCTTTTTTCTAACGCTTATATACTATACATATATTTAAGCGCTTATATCCTATATATTCAACAAATATACTCATTTTTTTTCAAATTCGTTAATTTGTTGCTATTCCCCAGATTCGTATATTTTTTTTAATATTAATAGGTTGATATATTTCCTTTTAAACAGTTAAAATTCGGATTTGATATATATTGACAATGAGTAAAAAATTATAATTAACAAAATCATAAATTTGAAACTATTAGTAATCAACGAAAGGTATCACATCTTTGCCGATTGCACGACACTTCTGGCTAATACTGGGCTTTATCTAGATTACATTTCTAGGGTGAACTCTCTCTTACACATCAAAGGAAGCCGTGTTTGACCACCTGTTGTCTGGCAAGTGTGAGTGACAATTATGCCACTTTGAGAGCGAACAGTTAGATAATTTCGCCCACTCCTTAACATCCTGAAATTCTCTCTCATACATTTATGCAATTTATTTATAAAACTAAAATTCACGTTAATTCTAGATATTTAAAAATAAATTACGCCTTTTTGTATTAAAGTTGATGAGCAATTTACGATATTATAGACTTTATTTTCATTAAATATCCATAAAATAATCAATGTCATGAATTACAAGACTAATTTGCAAGATAATAATTCTATTGTCAATCATTATCCCGTTATATTTCGCTCT